ATACAAAAATTAGCTGGGCATGGTGGCGCGTGCCTGTAATCCCAGCGACTCAGGAGGCTGAGGCAGGAGAATTGCCTGAATCCAGGAGGCAGAGTTTGCGGTGAGCCGAGATTTCACCATTGCACTCCAGCCTGGGTAACAAGAGCGAAACTCCATCTCAAAAAAAAAAAAAAAAAAAATGTACAAAAAAATTAGGTGGGTGTGGTGGCAGGCACCTCTAACCCCAGTTATTTGGGGAGCTGAGGCAGGAGAATTGCTTGAACCCAGAAGGTGGAGGTTGCAGTGAGCCGAGATCATAACATTGCACTCCAGCCTGGGTGACAGAGCAAGACTCCATCTCAAAAAAAAAAAAAAAAAAAGAAAAGATGGATGTGACTGATGGCTGACAAAAGATGGATGTGACTGATGGCTGACATAGGATTAAAGGTGCCTCCTGAGCCATGACTCAGCTATGTCAGTAGCCCTGCTAAATTTGTGGCCAGGTCGGACATGGTGGCTTACGCCTGTAATCCTAGCACTTTGGGAGGCTGAGGCGGGCGGATCATGAGGTCAAGAGATTGAGACAATCCTGGCCATGGTGAAACCCCGTCTGTACTAAAAATACAAAAATTAGCCGGGTGTGGTGGCACGCGCCTGTTGTCCTGGCTACTCGGGAGGCTGAGGCGGAAGAATTGCTTGAACCCAGGAGATGGAGGTTGCAGTGAGCTGAGATTGCGCCACTGCACTCCAGCCTGTTAACAGAGCAAGACTCCGTCTCAAAAAAAAAAATTTGTGGCCAGGCCACCTCCTCCCTCTTCTCCAAACTATGGCCATCACTGGTTTCTCTCCCTCAAAGCTATTACTGAAGTATTAGGAGATTATTTGGTGTAGGTTTATTCCTTCCTGTGACTTAGAAGCTTGGAGAATTCAATAGTTTTTAATCTAGCATCTTTGTTTTATCTAATAAGTTTAGTAGATCAAAACATTCTTCTGGTAAGGTCAAGGTCTAACCAGTGTAGGGTATCTTCAGCTCAGTGTGCATTTTAACCCAAACATACTCAGCATGTCACCTAAACACAATCAGTATCGGCCTCCATTGTGTCTTTTTCGAAGGTAAGACATCCTGACAATATTCTCTGGAAAAATTTCACTCATAGACTAACCCATATTTTTGTTTTTCCTCATTCCCACCCTCAAAGATAATATAAATGCAAATAAAATTTAAAATAACCTCCTATGGAGAGGAGACATTGCTGTTTTTCACTAGATATGGAAGCCCAAGTTTCTAATTTGGTGGACACAGTGGCAGAGGTATGAAGTTTTAGATTTGAGGTTTCCTTTCTTCTCTCTCTTCACATCGATGTACTTATCTAAAATGCATTGAAAGTCTTATTTTCTGAACTTTACTTTTCTCACAATGTTATCTAAAAACATTAATTGGCATTACAACATTAATCTTCTCTTTCACATAATTTTTAAAATTTTTTCTTTCTTTCTTTTTTTTTTTTTTTTTTGACAGAATATTGTCCTGTTGCCAGGCTGGAGTGCAGTGGCGCAATCTCGGCTCACTGCAAGCTCCGCCTCCTGGGTTCAAGTGATTCTCCTGCCTCAGCCTCTCAAGTAGCTGGGACTACAGGAACATGCCACCACATCCAGCTAATTGTTGTATTTTTAGTAGAGACTGGGTTTCACCATGTTGGCCAGGATTGTCTCCATCTCTTGACCTCATGATCCTCCTGCCTCGGCTTCCTGAAGTGCTGGGATTACAGGCCTGAACCACCGCGCCTGGCCAATTTTTTAAAAAATTAATTAATTTTTTAAAATTTTGAGACAGGGTCTTGCTCTGTTGCCCAGGCTGGAGTGCAGTGGCAAAATCACAGCTCACTGCAGCCTTGACCTCCCAGGCTCAAGCCATCCTCCCATCTCAGCTTCCCAAGTACTGGGACTCTGGGACTGCAAGTATGTACCACCATGCCTGGCTAATTTTTGTATTTTTCTTTCCTTCTTTTTTTTTTTTTTTTTTTTTTGTAGAGATGGGCTTTCACCATGTTGTGTCGGCTGTTCTCCAACTCCTAAGCTCAAGTGATCCGCCTGCCTTAGCCTCCCAAAGTGCTGGAACTACATGCCTGAGCCAGCTCACCCAGCTGTTAATCTTGCCTCAACATAGGTGCATCTTTCCGCTTCCTGTTTGTGTTCGTAGGTCCACTGCTCCTACTGTGAAGATGGATACATTCATCTGTCATAGCTTAATGACACCACTTTAAAATTTGCAAATGGGGCCAGGCGCAGTGGCTCACGCCTGTAATCCCAGCACTTTGGGAGGCCGAGGCGGGCGGATCACGAGGTCAAGAGATCGAGACCATCTTGGCCGACATGGTGAAACCCCGTCTCTACTAAAAATACAAAAAATTAGCTTGGCGTGGTGGTGCGCACCTGTAGTCCCAGCTACTCGGGAGGCTGAGGCAGGAGAATCTTGAACCGGGAGGCAGAGGTTTCAGTGAGCCAAGATTGCGCCTGGGCGACAGAGCAAAGCTGTCAAAAAAAAAAGAAAAAGAAAAAGAAAAAGACACAAGAAGTTCACAGGCTTGATTGAGAGGCACGTAAGACAAACGTGTTCAGAGCAAACTTCTAATTATGGCTTGGTTTCTAAAGAGACTTTTTTTAAAAACTGGGAAGTAATTTTATTATCTAAAAGACACTGGAATTTTGTTCTTTTGAGTTTTGTTGTGTGAGGGTGCATAAAAAATGAATAAATTTATCTTTGGCTTATGTCCTATGTCTTAAAAGTATGGCCAGGACTTCATCTCTAATGCGTAACTGGACAAATGTAAGGTTGTGAGCCTTAAACTTGAAGCCCATATTCATTCCCTCCTGGAAATCCCATGAAGGCTCAGACAAGCAGGGAAGTCTGGTCTGATCTATCAACCTCTTTCTCCTTCTCAACATATAGAACATCCCATTGGTCATGAATGCCAGATAAATGAAGGATTCTTGCAAAAGCTCAAATTTTTTTCTTCTTTGCTTGCATTCATGTTGTAATTAACACATAGGAGCTGAGCTTTTTCCTGTGCTGATTTGTAATTTTGGCATAATTCAAAGTGCAAATGGGTTCTAATGGCATAAATGTTATTTCCTGGGCAATAAATATCTCAAATAGAGAAGTGAGTCATAGGCCCCATGAAACTTATGAACCAAGATTAATCACGCGGAGAGCAGAGCTGCTTATCATCAATATAACTTTCTCTTCAGGCCATTTCCCATGCAATTGGGTGGAAAAACCCACTCCTATTGCTCAATTGGGCAGTTGCAAGGATGAGGTAAAGCAATTGTACTCTTTAGTACTGTAGTGAGAGCTGTAGTTTGAAAAACCACAGTAGTTAATCCACTTTGTTTCAAACTCTTCTATATGCTTCAAAAAGTGTGAATTACTAGGAATATTATAATATCCAATTAAGAAGAAAGATGTTAAAAAATGACTCAGAATTACGGCAAAAACTATTCTATTTTGAAATTAATTTTAATTTAGGGGTGTTTTGGGTGAAGCATTCCTGTGAACTTAACAAACAAATGGGCAATGTGATTTTGATTGCTTTTGAATGTCAGTAGGACTAACCTGATTACCTATCCCAAGGTTTCAAAGTCTGTTTCTAAAACATACCTTCTTTTTGTCATTGCAAAAGAGAAGTACACTTTACTTTCAAGGCTGACTTTGGGCGCCGAACACAGAAAGATGATTTCTTACATTCTTAGCTAATTAATTGTAAGTGTGGCTGGAAGCCTGGTGAGGCAGAATTTGAAGAAGATGCTTCTTTCTGACATTTAAGCAGAGGCAGCAAATCACTTACAGTAAAAATTACTCAAGGAAATCACTCAATTGGCCTTTTCTGGCTATGGAATGGTGACTTTTTCCCTATATTGCCCTAGGGAAAGAATATAACTGTCCCTCCCCTCCTTCCAATGTCTTCAACGTCCATAGCTTTAAAGAAGAGGCCAAAAATTTATAGAAAGGATTCAAGAACGTCTCAAAAGGACAAGCTCTAAGAGTCCGGTCTCTTATCAACCTCAGCGCCAAGCTTAGGGCACCTTCATTGGAAGGAAACGGCACTGCCCAGTTCCAGACTTGGGGGCAGACAAGGCCAGGAGTTCCAGTTTTCTGCCATAAAAGCACCACAATGGCTGGAGATGGAACCAGCTTGATGGCCCCTGCACTAGGGAAGAGAGAAGGAGAAGGGCACAGCTTTTGGCCTGTGAAGTGGCCGGTGCTGGAAGTGGTCTTACTTAGCTGTCTTGGGGCAGACTTACCTCCTGTGAAAGTAACTGTGTCCACAGAGCTGCCATCTTGAGAACCCCTGACTGAACTAACAGGGAGGCATGAGCTTGTTCTTTTTCAAGGAACTCTTTAGACTGTCACAGCAAGTGGAAAGCCCCTTAAGACATTCTCAGGACATCTGTGACCCTAGCTCCTAGAGTGACCTTTCCAGGAACAGCAGTCTGGGGGTGATGGCATCTTTCAGCCTCACATGCCAAACAAGCTTGAGCCTGTCTTTCCCTGTCTTCTGACACTTAGACTCACATAGGAGTCCTGCATGCCTAACGGGGCTGAAACTCCACGCCTTCGGAGATGAAACTGGGCTTGTGTGGGCACTGAGCATTAAAGTTTGAAAGGCAAGGGCGTGTGCAACTGGATATTATAGTTCCCGGAATAATGATTACACATGTGAGGCAAAAATAAGAAGCTTATTTCTTCTTCTTAAAAATGATGGATGAGACCTGCCCTGGAGAGCATTTACTTTAGAAAACTTGTAAGTTATCTTCAAAATACATGAAATCCTTATAAAATTTAAATACATATTTTGCCAGCTTTACAACCCGGGAACATCTTTCTAAAGGACCTGGGAGCCAACTGTTTTTTGTTTTGTTTTGTTTCTTTTGTTTGAGACGGAGTCTCACCCTGTTGCCCAGGCTGGAATGCAATGGTGCAATCTCGGCTCACTGCAACTGCCGCCTCCCTGGTTCAAATGATTCTCCTTCCTCAGCCTCCCGAGTAGCTGGGACTACAGGTGTGTGCCACTACGCCCAGCTAATTTTTGCATTTTTAGTAGAGATGGGATTTCACCATGTTGGCAAAACTCGAACAGGCTGGTCTCGAACTCCTGACCTCATG